AATAAAAAACTCGGTTTCGATACGTCAATTTTTTGGGAGATAGCTTGATCACATACAAAATCAATATCCGGACGTCTACGTAAAAAAACTTAAACAGTTTCTTTTTCAAAGTAGCAATAAAAATGTTTTATTAGAAAAAATAAGATGGATTCATTAGTGTTATTATGATATTCGGCTACTCATATTATCGTATAAGTGCAATATGGTTATGATAGAGACATTTTAAGAACACAAAATTACTCGACCTTGACGTGTCTAGAGTAAAGCACTACCTAATATCGCTTCGCGTTAGGCGTGCAATAACGATTTATTACAAAAAAGTCCAATATTCATAAGATAATTTTACATATATTTACCTTTTTGTACAAGGTGGGGCACGATCTGGCAGCGTCCTTTGAATATATGATATTATGCCCAAGCAACACACAAGCGTTATGAACATCAATATACCAGCCCACATAGAAGTTAGAGTTCTTTTAAATGCGTATAAGTGTTTAAAAGAGGTTATATCCTTACATGTAGGTCACTCAATAAGTTTTGAGATATACAAAAAGTATTCTAGATACTATTAATATTTATTTTACATCTTTTCAAAATATTCTCCATCATGCTCTATACAACGTTCCATTCGCCAAAACCAACTCTGAAAACACTTTTGCCAGTATTGATCTGACAGGTAGGAAATCGCTTCTTCGTAGGCAGGCACGGCTTCATCGGTGCTTGAAAAAAACTTGCCTTTTATTTTTTCTTTGACTCTTGGGAAAAAAAGGAATCACAAGAAGCTTTCAAGTGGGTGACTTAGAGTTTCAACACCATATTCCTCAATAAATGCTTTTGTTCTAAGGGAGGTACGTGAAGAGGCGTTATCGTGACGCACTATGATTTCCTGAAGCCCGGTCTTTGGTCTTCTCTCCCGCACAGCTTGAAAAGCTTTGGATAATGCAACTGTAGTATACCATTTAGAGTTGACTGACCTACAATCATCCAGCATTGACGTCGACAAATGTCCGCTCCACGAAAAAAACTAGCCACCATTTTTTGCCGATGTTGCGAGGTCTTTGCAGTTTTATCAGTAACTGTCCTTCTGAGTAGACCCATACCGATGATTGCCTTTTATTTTCCGGATCATATTGATGGATGCATGTCTCGTCACCAGTAACGATTTCTGAAACACGCCTATATGCCCCGTTTGCAAAACATAGACGTATTTCATGGTACCAATCCACACGAGTCTGTTTTTCGCTTTCGGAGAACATACGAGGGATCTGTCGACAAATAAGCTTCCTCACTCCAAGATATTGATGTAGGATGGTATGAATGCTTCCCGAACTAATGCATACAATCTTTTCAATGTCCATATATGTGAATCGTGGGTCTTGTCGCACTAACATTTCAGTAGTCCATACATTTTCTGCCATTACTGCTGATTGCAGGGCCCCGAATCTTTAAGATTAATATTAGCCTTTTTTAATTCAGCAAACTACTTAAAAATTGTTGCGCGTGATGGAGCTGAGTTCCCTAATGCTCATGATAACTGTTGTAAACTTAATTCAGTTAAACATTCAGTTAAACCAAATTTAAAATCATAATATATCATATCGCGCAAATGTCTATCGATTTAAATGAAAAGTGTGAGAAGCGTTGCAGGAAAATTAATAGAACTTTGTTTTTTTATTATAGTCCTATTAGCTCCTACAGAAATCAAGTGCTATGACATACTGAAGAACAGGCTCATGACCGTGTATGAAGAATCTGGGAACAAACAATTCCAGAGGTTATTATCTGAAATGGAATCAGGTGACCAAAACCGTCAAAATTACTAAGAAAAATGAAGTATTTAGCAAGAAATAAATAATTCGACGAGACACTCCAAATGATGTGGACGGGACATCTACCTACATTCGTTAGAGCAGTATTGGCTGTTACCGAGATTACGCAACTAGACGTACTGGCAGAGTTAGCTGACAAGATTATGGAAACGACACAACCCATTGAGGCAGCGGAAATAGTGACACAAAACCGAGCACAAAATAAAAGGATCTGACCGCCGAATTAGAAGAAGTTTTGAAGTGGTACAATTACGTGGAAGACAAAGGTGGCTTGGATCGGATCGAGGCCGTTTCGGCCCTCGTTCAACATCAGGCTACAGACGAGGAACGACTCCGAGACGACACTCCAGTAATGATCCAGACTGGCTATGCTTCTACCACTACAAGTATGGGCATCGAGCTACCAACTGCATAGAACCATGTGCGTAGAGGAAGATACAAGCGAAATCGGAAAACTAGAAGCAGTGAAGGCGACGGTAGGCTCCTGCACCGTGACACCTTCATACCGCCTATGCGTAGAAGAGAGAACAAGTGGACTCAGGTATTTAGTAATGTTTCAGTCACTCCAATTAGTAAGAAATTGCGCACATATACCAAATGTAACGATTATAAATTATATGCAGCTAATGGTACAACTATCGAAACGTATGACACCAAAATTTTAAATTTAAACTTAGGATTAAGACGGGAATTTAGGTGGGTTTTTGTCGTCGCTAACGTACGACAACCAATATTAGGGGCAGATTTTTGAGTCACCATGGTATTTTAGTAGATATAAAATCTCGTAGGTTAATTGACCAAGAAACCAATTTAAACGTTATATTATTCGAATTCCCACGCATGACCTTCGGCCTTTGCAACGCTCCACAAACTTTTATTTCAAGATTTACGGACCAAACGGTGTTAAAAGGCTTAGACAACGTTTTTTGTTATATTGATGACGTAATTATAGTTAGTTCTACGAGGGTGAACTGAACACCCGATTATACCAGGTTTTTAAGCGTTTCGATTATTTTGGGGTAGAAATCAACCTAGCAAAAAGTAGTTTTGGTCAGGAGAAAATTGAGTTTTTAGGTTTTGCAGTATCCACACAGGGCAGAAGGCCACTTAAAGAGAAAGTAGGGGTAATTTCTAAGTTTGCTAAACCTAAAACAATAGAAGAATTAAGACGTTTTTAGATAGAACACATATACCGGATGCGGTCGAAGCTCAATCAATCTTAAATAAATATTTAAATGGTGCTAGAAAGAGGGACAACTCACTCATACAGTGGTCAACGGAAGTCGATGAAGCATTCTTGCAATGTGAAAATTGTTTACAAAACGCGGTGACGTTATCGTATCCGTTACCTTATACAACGCACTCATGACTGACGCGTCAAATTCCTGCGTCGGGGCAGTGTTACAATAATGTGTTAAAAATAAATGGTTACCTATCGGTTATTTTTCTAGGGCAATGAGTAATACGGAACAAAAATATTTGGCTTACGATAGGGAATTATTGCCAATTTACTTAGCTATAAAATACTTTTAGAACCTTGTTGAAGGCAGGAAATTAGTGATTTTTGCCGACCACAAGCCTCTAACCTTTGCATTTTTTGAAGCAACAACAGTAAAGAACTACCTAGGCGGATACGTCAACTAGCATATTTCAGCGAATTTACAACGGACATAAAACACATAAAAGGTTCTGAGAACCCAGTATTATATACTCTCATATTGTTTTCCCACAAAATACTATGTATGTGATATTTTAAATTTAATATAGGATGTATAACTAAAAATCAAAACGCATGTAAGCAAACAATAATTTATTTAAGCAACACAATGTAATATAAATAAGTTGAAATATTATCTCACAAGTAACACTGTTGTTATCGCAGGAAGTTATCAATTACGGAGGAACACAAAACGTATACGTATATATACTTTGCAATAGGGAATTGTGAATATTATAATTATGTCTGAATCTTATAATAGGTAACAAGTAAAATTTTTGTCTCTGGTATTTTGTTTAAATATTTTTTTTATTCATTTAAAAAAAAAGGGGGAGAATAGTGTAAGGGCTTACGTTGCAATATTGTAATACTGTGTAACGGCTCGACGTCGAGCTGGCAGTTAGGCCCTCGCAGCGGTCTGAATAGGTAGTAGTTACCGAGTGGAAATAAATACAGTGATACACAAATAGACTTTGGATTATTTAGCACCTACACCTATAAGCGAAGATAGGGCTTACTCACAGTACTATTAAATTTTACGTTATTTAACTTTTCGCAACATTACTCTGTATTAGTTGTGGTTGCCTATAACTGGGCACATTGCTTCTCACAATGTTTTCAGTTTTTGTGTATCATCTGTCGGTGACCTTTATAATTAAATAAATAGACGACAGACGGGCCTCCATCACCTAGTATAAACCTTTCTTAAGCTTTTTGAAAACAAAGCCTCTTCAAGAAAACTCAAATGCATTTGTAGTAATTGGATCACACATTCTATAAATAATCAGCAAACATACTGTTCCCATCTCTGGGCAGGGGCTCCCCAGTGCCAGCTCCTTCCACTTGACCGCATCCAACGCAGAGCGGCTCGAATCGTCGACGACCGAGCCCTTTCCGATCGGCTCGATTCATTGGCACTGCGAAGAGATATTGCATCCCTTTGCATTTTCTTTCGCATCTACCATGGGGAGTGCCCTGAGGAATTGTTCATGGGCGGCGGTAGTCACTAACCATCAGGTGAGCCGCATGCTCGTTTGCCCCCTCTCCTATAAAAAAAACAGGTAATCTCTGTGTTCAATAAAATATAATATACTAGATGTAAACCGGTGTAAGCAATAACCGGGTTTTGCAGTTAACAGCAATACTTAATAAACAATCGTTACGATGGTCTGCAACTGTCATGATAGTTTCTATATCTGTAATGTTTTTTAAAAATTGAAAAGAAAAAATTTAGATACATTTTTATTCAGAGATATAATTAGGATATTTAATATACAATTAAAGATTTATGAACAAAAATAATATATACACATAATATCTATAGCTTAGTACAATAATACTTTTATTTACTCCGTGATATTTTAAAGGTGACGAAAAGTTTCACATAGTTTTACACACCAGTACAAAAATATATAATAATAAATAACTATTTATTATACTTATTAAAATTTTTCCTATTGCACAAAAGCGAACGACACGTCATTGGCGATACCACAAGCATTTCTTCCACGAACTAGGTAGTAGTAACCGTTGTCTCCCCATTCCGTCCCCCATGAATTCTTTATAATCCAATAGGGTGTTACTTTTCCAGACGTTTTCGACACTGTTTTCAAAAAGGCAATGCTTTATTACAGCAATTTCTTTCATTTACATGCAATATTACTTGTATTAAATTATGTATTATGTTTAATTTATGTAAGTATATTTTTAAGTACTTGTAGGAGAAAGGGGTCAGCCATGCTGAATAATAATACAGGGGTTACAAGATAATATTTGGTTTTATCAGTTTTATGTTGCACCAGGCACTTTTATAATTAATGGTGATAATTAATTTTAAATTAAATACCCGTGAGTGTCTAGGATAAGCTAGCTTAGTATAACAAGTGCACTGAGTTACGCCAGAGCCAAAACCAGGGGGATGAAACTGCCATACAAATTTACAAGAATAAAAAATGCATTGAAAATTCTGTCCTCTAGTGAACTGGGTACATAAACTTGTAGGTTAGTTTTCTGCAGCGTTGTATAGATGGCATTAATTAGGCCAAAACCCCAGAATCCAAAGCCCAAAAAAATCTAAATCTATGGCAGTTTTGGTCTATGGTTATGGTTGACACACTCGGTTGACACTTGACAGTTCCTTCTAATAAATACGAATCGTACGTTCCTCTCCTGTGAAAATCATAATTTAGGCTTTATGGTTATTTACTAAATTTAACAATAAATGTGGTTGTTCACAGTTTAACCTATGTAACATGCTGCTAAACGGAAAATTATTAACTACTGATTGGTGATTGTGAAAATGATAATGTGAAAACTCAAGCCATTAAATATTATAACATTCATAAAAGAAAATAAATACATAATTAAAATTGTATTCAGTCTTTGATATTAATATTTAAAAAAATCTTATGTGAAATAGGTTAAGTTTTATTAGTGTTAATGTTATCTGCAAAATCACCATTTGGAGATTTAAGATAATTATTGGAGATATCCAATAATTATCTGGTAGAGTGCATAAACAGAAATATTGATAATAAAACTGCATAGTTCATAATTATCAATATAGTCATTGACAAAATACGCCATCTAGTGGTAACCATGTCGTAACTACCGCAAGCCGCGTTGTAGTAAAGAATACAACGGCATCTAGCGTACACGGTACACTCATTCGAAAACTGAAATGAGAGTGGCGCATCTATTCCTGGTATATAGTGTAGGTATTATCTATGGCCAAAACTGCCCGCGCCAAAGTGTCATCAATGGCGCGCGCCGTCGCTGCGCGGTCGTTTTATATCTGTTGCAAAACAAGTCAAGTAGTGCGGCGGTGGGGGAAATCCAGTGGCACGCCGGGTCTAGTTTCTGTGATGTTAATGCTGCTAGCCTATACGGTATTAACAGCTTCATCGGACGGTGCGCCGGGTGGCGTGATCGGTACACGTGTTGTTTACAATTTTTGCTCTACCGGCGTACGACGACGCCGTCGTCACGCCGTCTTACTTATATCAAATAAAGTTGATCATTGAAACTCCTTCGTGGAATGAACAGAAAAAGAACAAAATTTAGGTCATTATTAGGTTTAGAATAAATAGAATAACAACTTATATTTTTTAATTATCATTAGCTTGTAAACAATTCACTTCTAGATATGGAACCTCCAAAGGCTTGGCCAGAATTTTTCATCCAACGTTCATAACGTAAAGCTTTAAGTAAAAATTATTGTAATAGTATACTGTAAATCTAGTTAAATTGGGCGCAGAACACTCATAATTAGCTTAAATTATTTATTTTCATGTACAGATTTTTTTTAGAATAAGAGTGACAAACGGGCACACAGTCCACTTACTATATAGTGAGTGGATGCTGTGCCCCATACACATCTACATTTATCCTCAGTTAAGAATAAAAAAGCAAATGCGTTGTCACACCCGGACTAAGGTGGAATGCCACGCTTCGAGTTAAAAGGGACTTCAGTTCTATATTCTTAAAAAAAAGTCCCGCTGGATTTCACGCTGGTTCTTCCTAGGCCAGAGGTATTTTTCGAACCATTGGTGAATAAAACATAACTTTCAATAAGTATTATGTAATTATCTATATTGAATAAAAATTATTCTATTCTATTCTCACAATACGAAACACAGCAGCATTAAGCTCTTTTTTTACGGTGGTATTTTGTGAGAGCGTGGTCCTACCCCGGTCAAGCCTACCCATTCGTGCTACAACCATAGTTAATATATATAGATATGCTACAACGTGGCTTTACCACTTATATTTTTTTATATATACACGTGTATAGATTTTAGGGAATGCCTGTTCAGCGGTGAACTTTACAGATTATTCAACTTATTTTTTTTCAATAACGACTACTAACGTGTAACATACCATATGCACTGTATCCAACAATAAGAACAGCGTGGTTCAAATGTTTTGGGGAGCAGGTTTCTCCAGTGGGTTCGTCGATATCGCCTTTATAACTTTCCATCGATTTAGAATTAATAGCTGAAAATAAAATTAAATAAAAAAATTACGTGCTCGTCGGTGAAGGAAAACATCACAGAGAATAGAGTGTCTTAAGAATAAAATCTAATAGTTAAGTTATAAGTTCATTTCACAAAGGTTTCTTCGATGTTTTTGTTTTAGTTTATAGAATTATGGTATGTACTATAACTAATATATGACTGACTTATTGTGTTAGGATAATCCTGTAATGATAATCCTAAGTTATCGTTATAAAATAATAAATATTATTTTTAACAAAAAAAAAATTAACAAAATTCACATGCTGTAAATTGCAAAATTGCAAACACAATAGATACAAACCATTAAACAGCGATTTAAACTTCAAACGCGAATATTTCAATAGTAGTTTTAGAGTCCATATCTTACCAGCAGATAGAGGCCCGTACTGTAGTATATACTGAATCATTACATTTTCATTTGGAAAAACTCGTTTGAATCCAATCACCGGTATTAGTTTGGTGTTAAAATTTGGTTGCCATCTGCACATATTTGGTTTTGCTTCGTATGGAAAATAATCGCTGTCCAGAAGCACTCCACCGAAGTCCGTAACAATGGCCCTGTTTATTTATAATTAAATAAGAAGTTCAAAGTAAACTGATGAAATTCCTATAAAAATCAGCACAAGGAAAACAAGGAAACTATGAGAAACGTAACAACATTGCCAAAGATAAGCAATCAAGTTGAAAAGTTCTCGAGTGACAACATCGCAACGGTGTACAAAGTGCAATACAGCACCCTAAAACAGTTAGCACAGTAATGGCCGAAATACACGGTCAGTTAAACTGACATCAGTTCAACTGATCTAAATTATCTGATTTTCAATATATCGATGGTTATTAATATATTAATGTCGGAGTTTTATATATCGAAAACATAGCGAAATATCGATATATCGGCTTTATTTAAAAGAAAACAATCGTATGTTAACTCAGAAATTATTTACACAGTTTATAATTTAGCATATTTATTAAATATATTAAATTATTGATGTATGAAAATGTTAGGTTATATTTCTTAATAGAAACAGAAACAGAAACTTTTTTATTCAATATTGATTATAAATAATACTTATTGAAAGACACTCTTTTGTTTGATTACTACTGGTTTGGAAAAAACCTCTGTCCTGGGAAGAAACAGCAAGAAACTCAGCGGGACTTTTTTTTAAATAACAGCTTACAATCATGATGTTACACAAATTAACAACACAACAAATTAGAAATAGCCTGGTAGCGATCACCTCATTTCCAGGGGTTATTATCATCCATAAATTCCGTAATATTATAATAACCCTTTTTATACAAACTTAGTTTAATAAAGTTTTTGATCTTTGAGCAGGTCTAATTTTGTATTTTTTCTGGAATTTTGTTGTAAAAGCGTATACATCGCCCCAAGAATGAATTACTGACTCGATGGAGTCAAGTAACTAGTACTACCAGCTTGTGTCTGTTCCTAGTATTTACAGAATGAATATCACTTATTTTTGTAAAACTACTTTTATTTTTGTGTACGTACATTACATTTTCATAAATGTATTGAGAGGGAAAAGTTAATATATTAATTTCCTTAAATTTTTGTCGCAGCGACTCTTTAGGCTTTAAATCATAAATTGCTCTTATGGCCCTCTTCTGTAAAACAAATATAATTTCAGTGTCAGATGCGTATCCCCAAAGCAAAATACCATACGACATTATGCTATAGAAATAGCTAAAGTAAACTAGTCTAGCTGTTTCAACACTGGTTAGAGTTCTAATCTTTTTTACAGCATATGCTTCAGAACTAAGTCTGCTTGCTAGTTTTGATATATGGGGGTCCATTGAAGCTTCGCGTTTAGTGTGATTCCAAGAAAAATGGTGGTATCTACAAGAATCAGTTTCTCCCCATTTAAAATTACATTAGTATTTAATTGTTTGACATTTGGAGTTTTTTTTGATTTTTTTTTGATTGAACCAATTTACTAATTTAGATATAGCATTATTTACTTCGTCATGTTTTAGTAATTGTCGACTTAATTTGAAAATTAAAGAAGTGTCATCTGCAAATAATAATATATCATGGTTATCCCCTACTATGTAAAGTAAGTCATTAATGTATACAAAGAACAGAACGGAGGCCGAGAATTGAGCCTTGAGGCACGCCTATTTGTCCCATCGATCCGGAAGAGCTCATACTGTTAATGACAACTTCTTGCGTTCTCTTACTTCAATATGAAATAATTAATTTAAGAGCATCACTTCTTACACAGTAGTGTTGAAGTTTTCTGATTAATGTTTCATGATGAACACAATCGAAGGCCTTGGATAGGTCACAAAATATACCCGAAGCATCCTGTGAATTCTCACATGCATTAAAGATATATTTAATCAACTCAACACCGGCATCAGTTGTAGAGCGACCCCTTGTGAAACCAAATTGATTTTTATGAAGTAAATTATATATATTAAAAAAATTTAACATTTGATCAAGAACAATTTTTTCAAAAATCTTACTAAGTGTTGGTAGTACAGGAATAAGTCCAAAATTGGCGGGGTCTAATGTACTACCAGATTTAAATTAAGGTATTACTTTACTATGCTTCATTAAATGAGGAAACACACCAGATTCGATACTAGTATTAAAAATAATAGCTAAATGAGGCGCGATTGTATCTATTATAGACGCAATAACTTTAACGGAAATCTCCCACCAATCCGCAGTTTTCTTAACATCAATAGTTTTTATTTTACAATATCTTTTGATGACACTTTATTAAAAGTAAAATTCTTTGTACTCGCATTTAAATTTTGTTTAAGTAATGATTTGGCGACGGCAGGAGAAGGATTCTGTGACTTAGTGGCCAATATCGGAATATCAGTAAAATATTTCTCATAATCATTGCTACGTCCTGATCTGATACAGTTAATTTGTTGTTAACACTTAACTGGTAATTTGAATTGCGAGAGTTGATCTTACTAGTTTCGTTATTAATTATTATCCATGTCAATTTAATTTTATTGGAAGCCGTCTTAATGTTGTTGCTCAAATGCAAAGACTTGGCTGTGGAGCACACTCTTTTAAATACTTTTGAATATTTTTTTTTACATATTCCCTAAATTCGACGCTATGATTATATGACCTTTCATGGTAAAGATCATATAACCTATGCCTGCTCTTATGGATTTCTACTGTCGCCCATTCATTGAATGACTTCCGACTGTTCAAGGAGAATGTTTTAGAAGCAAAAGTATTATTAAATTCATTGCAAATAAGCTTAAATAATGTTCCATACAAAAAATTAGGATCATTTTGGTATGAAAGTAATGGAAGTTTTTTCACTATGTTACTTCTAAATTTCTCCAAGCGACGTGCATTTACTGGAACAGACACAACTTTCTCATCTACTTGCTTTTTGTGAACATAAGGTAACGAAACTGCTTGTCCACAGTGATCAGAACTTAATTTTTGAATTATATATTTATGCATCGGCTTCACATTTGTAAAAATGTTATCAATACATGTTGCACTGGATTGAGAAATACGCGTTGGCTCTATAAATAAATTAAAAAGACCATATGATTTAAACAATGATCTAAATTTAATGTTGATTGAGGAAGCTTCTAGGAGATTGATATTAAAGTCTCCACATATTACAACAGATTTATTCTTTTTATTAAGCTTCGCAAAAACTTCCTCCATAATGTTTTCAGAAGTATCATATGTACCACATGGGTGTCTGTAGACGCTCACAACAATGAGGTGCTCAAACTCAACACATGCCATTTCTACAGTTCTCTCAACAGAGAGGCTCACAATGTCTTTACGTTCTTTACATGATAATAATTTACTAGCTAATATTAAGGAGCCACCTCTTAAAACCGTATCTCTATTGAAAGAACTGACCACCTGGTGATTACTGAAGTTAAACATTAAATTATAAGCTTTTAACCAATGTTCAGTAATACATAAAATATGAATATTGTTGCTATTTAAGAACAACTCAATTTCTCTTTCCCTATCATGCCTTGTATATTTTGATGCACCAGGTGTAAACAATTTTCATTATCTTTCTGTGGAGTCATACAATTAAAGATTTGTAAGCCACATTCTAAATTATTTAAGTTATTATAACTGCTAGAGATTACCTCTATTGTCTCATTTTCTAATTTAAATTACTTGGAACTGATTCCAAATTGCATATTAAGTCATTACACTGCTCAAAAGAAGCAGATGTCTGTGTAGCCAAGTCCTTGGCTGAGTTAATATATAAATAATAAGATAGCACGTTTGCTATCTGTCTTAAATTATATTTTGATAGGTAATACCTATCTCTAGTCAAAAATTTCTGAATTAAATTATTTATATCTATTAAATTAATTCTATCATTATAATTGTAACAATTAAATGTCAAGTTTAAATTATTATTACATGAAAAGTTATTCATTAATAAATTTAAATCATATCTTATTTTATTTTCCTGCGGCCAACCCTGTATGTAAGGCAATGTAAACAAGATAATTTTATGTACATTTAAAGTATTTAGATTATCAATATATTTTAATAATTGATTTTTGTTTACATTGCCTCTTCTCCCAACAAGAATTATTAATGTGCTATTAGGACAAAATTTACTAGCTAAAACTTTATTCATTATATGACTAAAGGATGCTCCAGGCATGCAATAATTAGTGATCATATGTCCTTTTAAACAGTTATTTAACATCATGCCCAAATTTTTGCCTATGTCATCACAATACATAATAACTTTATTTTTTTTTAATATTTACATTGCTTTTTAAGTTTATATCCTTTGTCATGGCGCTGTCATAGAGTGTAGGTAAAAATAATGAGGTCTTACTTAAGACGCGAAGAAAGACCCCAAGGCTCGTTCAGGCGTCAGGTGTAGTGAATGTAAGTAGTGTATGAGGAGTGTATGTATTTTTAACCCGATTTAGCCCTTTTAATAAGCAGCAACCCTGACTCCGGCACCGCCCCCCGGCTTGGTATTCTCCAACGGCGGCAGCAATGGAGAATTTCTTTCTTCAATTCACTATGTCAGTCTATCAACTTTATTGTACATTTAACTAACTTCAAAGCGAAACTAAATCCCGTCAATTATAATCAAAAGACGTAACACGTGGTACGACCGATGAACGATGGGTCAAAGTTCACTTTCGTTCACTCCGCAACAAATTATTTCGAAAACCAAACGGGACCTTTTAAGACACTTACCGCAACGGTACAATTAAACATTAACTTCCCAACAATTAGACAACCCGGCGTCTAATGTTCTAGACTACAATTCCTCGTCGTTGCACAAATTTGCTAACAAAATCTACACTATTAGAGGTAACCACTCGGCTCGAGTCGACTCACAGCAATGCATATACCACCTAATCCGAGGCGGTCTTCATGAAACACAATTTAAGTAGCGGAGTAACGCGCACGAATACTGAAAATCTAGACCATAAACCCAAAACTGGTCGCACGAAATCGCTGCCACGGGCACTACAAATACGTTACGTTGCGACGGCGCCGCGGCACTAAGGCTACTGTTCTGCCCGCGCATCGAGCGACTGCCAGC